TATAGCCAAAAGAGGAGGTACAGTGGAGAAATGTTTAATAATAAATATTGTCATTTTTATGCTTCACCTCTACTCTGTATTTTAATATTGTAATAACTTCCAAAATAATATTGCAAAAGTTATTTTCGACTAACAATTTTCTTGGTAAAATCCTCTCTAGTGGACCTGCCCACTATAATTTGACAAAAGGTCAAATTTTCAAAGATATTATATCAAATAAAAGAAAATTACTTCAGGATTAAAAAAAAAAAAAATTTATCAATTTAAAATCGTGATATTTTGGGGAATTTTCATCATTTACGAGGAACAAAGGAAAATTTTTCTATTTTTGAAGGTAATGTCTTCAACTAAATACGATTTTGAGATCTTTTGACGTATCGTTGATAAAATTCGGTCGAGTGAGAGCTGAGAAAAGTAGTGACAGCACAAAAATAGCTATATAAAAATAAATAAATAAACAAATCATGGTAAAATTAATACCTTCTCAGCTTCGCATCGAAGCTAAAAACAATAAAATGTTATTTATGCGAACAAGTTTTAAACAAGAATTCAGATAATATATACTTAATACTCAATACTCAATTATAAATACTATAACCTACTTCACTAATAATAAACAATTAAATGTTTAAAAATCATAATAAAAATAAATAAACTACATTTATATCTATTTTGCACATATTACATTAAATTTTTACGATAAATTTTTTACAGGTTCTAATTATCAATGTGATCTATATTATTCAAATCGTAGGAGTTTCCAGTTATTAATGTTAAATTAAACTTATAAAGTTCTTTTCAAATTTTCACAAATCTTTCACAAAACTATTCAGTTATAAAATTTCCAAGTCTGCCTAATTTTAAAGGCATGTTTGTTGCACATTTTTTGAAATAATTTTATTATTTTTGTGGGTGTTTCAATCCGACGATTTTGGTGAAAGTAATACGTGTTGTGGTAGTCATGACTTCAATTTCCTATTTTTTTTCAATTTTGAAATATAATGGATTCTTTGTCTGAAGTAGATATTAATCTAATAATAGAATAAAATATAATAAAGAATCTAATCAAATTAAATAAATTGGATGTATAAAAAAATCTTATATTAATATATAACATCATATTTATTATTAAATTACGCTTATTCTATAAAACTAATTGTTCAAACATTAAAACCACGAAAATATTATTTTTAACATATACATATATATATATATATATCAATTTAATATAGTATATTTTATTAAAAATTTAATTAAATTAGTTTCTTTTAAAAATACTAAACATTTTTTTCGCGCAAAATGCAATTTCAAATTGTTATTAGAGTACTTTACCTACATATCTTCAATCTTGCGACAGTTACTTTGATTAATTCTTTAGAATCTCATGAATGTAATGAAAAAATTATGGTAATTGTTTAATAAATAAAAAAAAATTACATAATAGTTATAGAATATTATTAATTTAAGATTCATAGTATTAATTATTATATATATTTTTTGTTAAAATATCATTGGTTGATTTTCGAATATGAGTAAATATCAATAAATATTTGTATTAATTCAAGGATTAAAATTTAAAAAAAAAAGAAACTTTTATGTTTTTTAAGTAGTTTTTTCTTAAACTGATAAAAATGACCATAAATTATATTAAGCAAACTTTATTTTTTTTAAATTAACTTTCAGTAACTAATTTATATTTAAATTAAAAAACATATGATTAAAATAAATAAATAATAACCAAATAATTTGGTATAATTGATAATAATAATTGATTTTGTTTCCCCTGACTATTACGTGCTAATTTTTCATTATCATTAGGTATAGTAAAAATTTTCTTTTATTTTAATTAAAAGATAAAAAATTTATACTCTTATTAAATTATATCATAAACGACAAATTTAAGTGAATTTTCTTTAAGATTAATGACGTGTTGTGATATTTGATATTTGTGCTTTTTGATGAAAAATAAAAAATGAAATTTGACTAGGTATATTGTAAATAATAGTTTAATGGTACACTTAAAAAAAAAATCCGAATTTTAATATACACTTCCGTTGGAAGTTCTTAATGCATGCAATTTAAGGGAAAATTTGATAAATGAACATTTTGGTTACTTTGTATCAAAATTATACTTTTAACGTGCAATAGTAACTGAAGTCTGGGAGTTTTTAAATGTAATCATTTCTTATCAATAATTTATTATATCATTTATTGTTAAATATATACAATATAATTACAATATGTATTTATTTTTATAAATAATTATTACAATTATATTTAGTTTTTTAATTTTTCAAGTAATAAATTATAAAAATATATATTTCACAATGGTTTTTAATAATTGAATTTATATTTACTAATTTTTTAAATAATACATAAAAATACTAAATAATTTATTATTTATGATTTTGTTTTTTGAGTGGTTCATAATTGACTATTAGAATAATATTATTGAGAATACTAATTATATTTTCTTTCTATTCCAAACAAAATATAATGAGTGTCTCACGAGGTTTTGACATATTCTATAATTTTGATTCAATAATACTTTCTTTGAAATTAAAAAAAATATGGAGACAACATTCAGAAAATATATATTTTTGTTATTGGTACGTAGTAGAATATGTGTAAATTAGTACCTATTCTATGTATTTAATGATTGTAACTTAATAAGTACATATCCTAAAATTATCATCGTTTCATAAAAGTTTTTTTGTAAAAATAGCTAAAAATGGCTATTTTGAAAGGTTGAAAAAAATAACTTTTTTTTATTAGTGACAAATAATAAAAAGTATGCTTTAAACATAATATAAGAAGGCAATAATTACCTGAACCAAATACATTATTTTTTTGAGAGTTAATTCGTTAATTGAGGTGCAAAGTTACATATTGTTCTCTATTGCGAGGCATCCAAAAAATCGCGGTTGCCTAGGCAATAACTCCTGTAACAACCCTCAACGGTTGAGTAAATAGGGAAACCAAATATTTCAAAAAATATTTTGCTCTTCCTATAAAAGATATCTGTTGATCCGATATGAAATACGATTGTTATTTAAAATTATAAAAAATAATTGATAATTAACTATGAACATACAATGTTAACAAATTCAAGTAATATTTAAATTGTAATTAATATTTGTATTGATATAATTGATTAAAATATTTTAATCTATATTTTAGACTAACGAAGAACCCTCGTTAAAGCTTGAAGATACGTCAAACAATTTTATTTACAAAGTTACCGATAAAAAAGTAAATAATTTTTGTAATTTATTAAGGGAAGAAAATTGAAACATTTTATGGCAAATAAAAGTACCAAGATTGTTTAAAATAGAGAGTTATGGAAAAATATTAACTTTGTTTTTTAGATCGCTTGTGAAACACAATTGTTTAGTTATTATAATTTGTTATATTTACTATAATATTATATGTGCATGAATGATATTTACAAGATTATTGTGGAAAATTAAAAATAGATGGATACAATATTGTTACAATGTGGACTGTACCGGCTTATTTTATGGAATATCTGGGTCGATTAAACGTAGAAACTATAATTTTGTAATAAACAAAATAATTGTCTGGTTTTTTCTGCAGAGCAAATGCAGACCGAACGCTTATCGAACTATTTTAAAAACAAAAAAATGAACAAAACTCTATGCGGTACCTTATGGTACGTCGCAAAAAAATAATTGAAAAACAAGAAATAGAAACATAATTTTTAAGTCACAAGGTTTAAAAACTTTTATTCTTAAAGGTTGTTTAGTTCAAAGTGAAATTATTAAAGATCATTATTTTCGGAAAGCAAAATATTTTTTATGATTTTTTCAAGTATATAATTTTGTTACTTATTTGTTTTTCATTATTTTAAAGGTATAGTATAGTTTTTTAGGCTCTATCCAGATCTCTTTTCAAAAATAAAATATATATAATATTTTTAAAATGAGAAAAATTATTCGCATCTCTTAATAAAACGCTATGTCAAATATCATATCATTAAACTTTTTGTGCTTATTATTATTTAGATTGAATAATAAAAATATCAAAATAAAATTTTTGTGATTAAACTAGTAACAAAAATTAATTTGTCTAGTTTGATGAATTATTTATGAATGAAATGAAGAAATACAAAGAGATAATTAGATCTAATGAATTTACAACAAGCGATTTGCATAAAATTTCAAATATATTGACAGAAGGTAATAGAAAAATTACGAAAAATTAAAAATAATTTAATAATTTTTTTTTATTGTATTATTATTATTTAAATTGTTTTTATCACAATATAATAACGTGTTTATATTTGACAGATATTGTGAAACCATTGGTGGAAGGAACACGTAAGCATTTTAATTATCATAAAATATTAAAGTTACATATTTTATTTATTCCATATAAAGTTTTAAATAAAGATAAATTGGGATATTTTTAGATGAATGCTATAAATTTATAAACAAAGAAGATGCGTATTATTTTATTAAACAAATTACAAAACCTGATATAGACTATACAGACAATTTTAATCAGTCAATAAATTGTTTTTATGGTTCCAAAAAGAAATACGTAAAATTATCTGATTTATGCAATTTTTTAAAAGAAACTAAACTTGAAATCGAACCTAAATATTTGGACAGTTTGATTACCGTTTGGAGTTACACTCGTCTAATAATAGCACAACCCCAGTAATTAAAATTGTTCATTATTTATAATATATTATTAACTTTTATACTTAAATATATGTTTTCAATAGTAATAATATTTATTATTATTAGACTAGTCTTTTAATGCATTGAAGGCCTATTTCTACACATGACTCGCATTTTTAGATGTTTCTAATATTACATAAGCTTCACGTATAGTTTTTTAAAACAACCCCCAAGTGTTGATAGTCGCATATTTACGACATTAGTCGATTATTAGAATTATTTAAAAACCATGAATTAGTAATAAAAAGAACACAAATTATATAAACACCAAATCGTTATTTTCTAATTGGTTATATTAATTTTATGTCTTTATTTTTTTCAGATTGTTATTATCGTGATAAATATTTTATTATCTATCTATAATTTTTTGTGTTAATATAAAGGAATTGAAAAGTTTTATGATGTATTTTTCCGATATCATATTTAATAATTTTTATATTTATATACACTGTGCTATAATGTTACTTATAAAGATTTATATTTCTGCTTAAAAGTTGAACTTTCTAAAATTACTTACCCATATTTCATTTTGTAATAATTTAAAATTAATGATAGTACTTTTTTAATTATATTTTAGCTGAAATAACTATTAAGTGTAAACATTTCGTTATTGAACAATAAAGAATTTAATCAATAAAATTCAAAATTATAAATTATACTTATCAATTGATATGTAAAAGTTTTTACATCTATGTATTTGTTTTATGTTCAAATTAAAACTAATTCACGTAATAAGCGTATTCCTCCGTAAGAATATTAAGTTATTAACGTCTAATAAAGCGTAATCCTTGACTTTTATGTATGGTAATGACGTAAGTTATGTAAATCAGAAGTTCGTATCGGTGCACATAAGTTTGGTTCATGACTTTGAACTTAATCGGTATCTGCTAAGTTAAACATTAAGTCATATAAGAACTTAATGCTGTGTTTATGTATCATAAACACAGATATCATTGATCGGTTATCATTGTCCCGTATGACATTTTCAATAGTGCCAACAAATCCATTGATCAGACCTAAACTGACGTCAATGTTTCTATACAACATCACACGAACCTGACCAGCAGGTGAAGTATGCACTATGAATCAATAGCTGCTGGCTCAAGGTATGAGTAATGTGATAAGATCATTTTTTGCCTCATCTTTATCACCTTACCACAGCACCTCAGTGCAAGCAATTGAAGGAAATCTCAAATATCTAGTGTAGTGTCAGCAGTGATATTTGTTGTTATTTTTCTATGGAATAGACCTGATTTCTAACTCCTGTGTATATTTATTTAAAGCCTCAACATTATCAAAATTTGAAAAAATAAATAAATATCAAAATAATAATTAATACAAATAATTATTTGTACTTTTACTTAACATGAGTATTCACAATCTATTTGATATGTTAATACACCAGGTGTACTTTTTGAGGGTCATAAATGGATAACATAAATAAGTGAACAAATATTTTTATAAGAGTTATTTAGTTATTCTTAAGTTATTTTATACGAAACAAAGTATACATTTTTAAACTTGTGGTTGTAACTTTAAAGGAAAACAATATTGTCATGTAAACGATGTAATTTTTTTTATACGTTTATATTTAAACCATCGTTTTTTTTTGATAAATTTGTTTTACTATAGTAAAGGCTGTTATAATATTTTTTTTAACTATTTTATATAATTTTTTATTTTCTTCCATCTGTCCACATTTTATTATCATTATTCAAATACGAATTTTATAAACCGTAATTGAAATGATTGACGAAGTAAAAAATTATTTCTAAGTAAATTTCGTGAGTAGCGCCCCAAACATTTTCTATGGAAATTTTATGAGTTTTAATTGTGTCGAACACGTGTTTAGCACAGGATTTGCGTTTTTTTATTTGGATCAATTTTTAACGAGAATTTTTTTTAAATAAATATTTTTCAAGTGTTTATCCAATTACATTTTACATTTTAACATTTTAGAGGCGTACTTTTTTGTTTTGTACTGTTTACTAGTACAAAGCCTCATGTTTAATATAGATTCTAGGAAAACGTTGTATCATTACTTCATCGCCTGAGAATAAAAAGATTCTAATGCAAAATAAATAATTTTTGAGTATATTGTTTTTAGAATTACAATTATTATACAGTTATATGAAACTTGAAATTTTTTATTTATGTTATTTCGCAATGAGTGTAACGACTTCATTTAGGATTTCAAAGATGTTTAGTTAATTTTTTAATATATTTATTGATTTTTTTTATTTTTATTGCGTTAGAATCTTTTTATTTTGAGGTAATGGTGGATAAAAAAAAAGTCTTATCATCGATTATAGCAATAATGACAGTTTTAACCGATTGATGAGTAAAGTAGGAGAACAAAGTCTATCCAAACCTTATGGTGGTATTCAGTAAATAACTCATCTGCATTTGATGGATTTCTGACATTCCATAGAAAATATTCTGGTGGTTTTACTATATTAGAATCGAAAACACTTGTCACTGTTTTCTATACATACCCTATAATATATGATATATTGTGCTATGTATTCGTCTTAATGTACAAACGTTTATTTGGCATAACGTTGTCTTTTATTCGTTTTTCATTCTGTAATTTATCGCTCACAACAGTGTGTTTTAGGTCATAAGAAGATCTGTTCAGTATACAAACATAGACGTTCAGAGCTTAACCTATCACAAATGCATAAACATTTATCTTGTCAACTTAGCAAATCATACACAAATAAGTACTATCATAAGCAGTGTTGCTAAAATAATTCTATTCGATCTTCTTATATACCAATTGTTATCCTTAAAAAATTATTGTTATATTTCTACGACAAATTAACGTTATCATATTGTTTATACATGGAAATCGTTACTTCAGGAATACGCTATGCTACTAACTTGAACGGTATGCATCGGAGTCCAAAATACAGCAGGTAAAGTGGTCACATGATGAGACACACGAAATTTCGGGTCGTGAAATTAAAATCTGAGCCATGTCTTTATTATTTCGCATGATTTCTGATACATGTTCAAGGAAACTGTACCATTATAATGATTTTCATTATAACTCAAGTTGTTAATAATAATGCTAAAAAATTAATCAAAATTAATATGCTTGAAAAGTAATAACAAGACCGTTCTTAAAGGCAAGGCAAGACCTAGGTGCTTTTAAAATATTAACGTTAATTATACTTAAATTTATTTATGCTCTGAGCCTCACAAATTTTAAGCATGATCTTAACTAATAATAAGTACAAGTTTTGACTTACGAAATAGATTAAATTAACAAAATATTACTAACACTTAATGTTTGATTTTATTGTAATACCCTTGTAATAGCTATTTAAAGTTAATAACAGAAATAACAATTGTAAGTTATAGAGGAGAGAGAAAAATTAATTTACCTATAATTTTAAGACATAAAAATATATTTATTTCTATAACTGATGAAATTTGCTTCTAATTAATTATTAAGTAAAGAAACATCATTTTTATGAACAGTAAAATTAATGAAAACTTTTTTTCTTAAATGTTGAACACTCTAAGAGTGTTTCATATTTAACTGATAGTGCTTATAGTCTTTAATCTATTTTTCAAATAAAAAATATTGATCAGTTTGTTGCAATTTTTTCTAACAATTATTGCATAATGATAGTTGTATCAGTTAGATCTAATACATTCAGTATGGAATGTGATATTAATTTTACATAGTTAATCATATTTGTATTGCGTAAAAAACAATTAATACCTAAATGACACTTAACAGGGTTAATCGATGAACTCATTAGAAAACATGATGATATAGTTAGGAATTGAAATCTAAACTCTTTAATAGATTTCTATTTGAATAGTAAATAAATATTATTCTAATTTGTTTTATTTCCTCAATAACATGAAATAAGTGAGTATATATAAGCCGTACTAAGTTATAGTTTATTATTACTAGAATAGGAACTTTTTAAATAGTACAATTTTTGTTATCTAAAATATTCCTGTTTATAAAGATACCGAAATGTATTTTTTGAAAAATGAGGACATGTTGTTTAACGTAGTCTAATGACGTGGTGTAGTTCAGTTGAGTCGTACAAATATCGCAATTTACATCGTTATTAATGTTTACCAATTCGTTATGTTATTCAGCAGCATATAATAGATTTTTTTAACGTAACGTTACATGCTATTTTGTAAACGTGAAGTATTTACTCAACAGCATTCCACTTCGCATATTTATTTGATAAAATTTATATATTATCTACCCTGTAAAATATAAACGACATTTTTCGATTCATAAAATTTTACTACATAACTAATGGACCTAGTAGCCTTATTCCAAGTATTCCAATAAATATAACAGTATGTTTTCTAAAAGACTGACTTGGAGAACGAAACATAGATTAAATTAATTAAATGAGCTTATAAAATTAATAAAGTCATGTATGAGAGAAAATATTTTTCAATTTTAAAATAAATTTTAATAACAAATTGAAGACACAGTAATGGAATTTCCGTTTATCACAATTTTTGCAGAACTTTTCATGAGTATGTCCAAAATAAATTGTAAAAACCCTTTTGATGGATTTTCGAAAATTTATGTAGATGTTTTTGTAACAATAAATAAAGGTTTATGATTATAAACATGGTCATAATCATTGCTACATTATGAAAAGGATAGGCATACGGCCATAGCTCAGCCATACAAAGTTTTGAAAATTTGAATTTATATATTGTCATATTTTTTATATAAATTATATCCAATTTTTTTTAATTCTCCCAAAAGTAATATTATTGTACCCCTATGGCGATGGCCTCAAAGAGGAACTGAAAAACCATGCAATATTTGCGTTATTATTTGAGTATTATTAGTATTAAAATATGACCAATTTTTATACTATGTGTATTATACATTATGCTGTAATAAAATTTTATTTCTGTATTTCTTTAGTGATTTCTAGTAGTGTTTTTATTTATCAATAGACAGGATTTAGAAGTCAATCATAATTATAGTACAAAAATAATCTGCTTTTAAAAAATATACAGATTACTCCTATAGGAGACTTCTAGAGACAACTACTATAATTTTAATACAATTAACATTCTGCTGTAATTTTTTTCTTTTATATATTATGTATTATTAGACTAAGTTAAATACTTTTTTATTATTTCTTTTTAATAATAAGAAAATCAGATTTCTTAATTGTAATTTTTTATAGTAACTCAAAAAGAAATATGAAATTTACTGAGGAATTTTGTATAATGATAAGTATGAACATGTGGATGATTCAGTTACTACATATTTATTAAATAAAATGATATAATATAATTTTCTCACGGAGTTTTATGAAAAGATGTAAAATATAGAAAAACAAAGTGATGTTTGAAAATTTTTATTATAATAATAATTTGAAATAAAAATTGTTACGAATAATTATTACACTTTAAGTATTAATAACGTTACTCGTACTAGTAGTTATCTAAGTTTGTGTTGACTGTGACTTACGTCAATAAATACCTCGAGTAGTATAAGAACCACAAGTGGGTTCTCTATCTTTGCACAAGAGTATTTGTATTGACCACACAGGTAACCCACTCAACGATTGGA